CTGACCAAGAAATAAGTCAACTCGCAGCTGGCGAGAATATGAGCGAAAGGCAATCGGAGAACGACATGGGCTGTCTTTGGTCCCCCAAGGAGAAGCAGAGTGGATTAAACACGAATTAATGTGGAATTTATCACAGTTTAAAGGTGGAACGACGACCGGACACAGCGCTTTCTCGCCAGGTAAAGAGTTAATTGTTGAATTTGTTAAACTATCCAGAAAAAAAAAAACAAACAAACATCAAGTAGTGATAAAATATGTCTTTGACCAAAAAAGTTACCTTTACAATGTGTAGTTTGCTCCCTTCTTTCAAAAAATGACTAAAGTTTGTGTGCGTAAATGTAAAAAAAAAGTTTTATCTAATGATAATGAAAAGTAAAGTGAAAATTAATGGACAAATATGTGAAAATGACCCCGCTTTAGGTTTTGATGTGTTTTGCTGGGTTACATCTGGCTCTGGCACGCACGTCAGCTCCAACACCTGCAAGCCTCTTTAAGTGACTCTATCCATTATGATTACATGACCGTCAAAGCCTTTGCAAACAGAACCGTCTGACTGTAATGCTGCTGCTGCTGTGCAAATTGTAATCTCTTTTCTTCTCTCTGATACTGCTTGTGATCTTTAGTTCCGCACGTTTCTTTTTTCTTTTTATATCCCTCAAACCTAGTTTCTTATCTCTTATGTCTGCAGTCTTCCTCTGTAAATTACTTTGATTTTTTTCTTTTCTTTTCTTTTTTGATCCACCTCTTATTCATTTTTACGCCTGTATAATTTTATGAATGAGCTCCGAGTAATGGCCAGACTTCTGTCAGGGGGCCAGTATTGTGAGTTTGCCTGTTAAACTTCAAAGTGAAGAGGTGTTTCCTATCCCAGCTGTATGGAGGGGGGGGGATTACAAAGTGTTTGGGAGGCCCCCTAATATGACTACCTGCATGTCAATAGTTCCTTGGAAGCGCACTGACAGAAACCAACTGTTTTCCCACAGGGACTGACTGATCATGGTCGCCGTGGTCCGCTCTCTCATGGTACTGCTGCTCGCTCAGGTGCTGCTGGAAGGTGCTGCGGGACTCATCCCGGAGGTTGGCCGAAGGAAGTTCAGCGAATCTGGGAAGCAGAGCCCGGAGCGGTCGGAGAGCTTCCTCAACGAGTTTGAGCTTCGGCTTCTCAAAATGTTCGGCTTGGGCCGCAGACCGACCCCCAGCAAAAACGCCGTGGTGCCCCAGTACATGGTGGACCTTTACCACATGCACTCTGCGAACGGAGACCACAGCACTAAACGGACCAAGAGTATGGGGAAGCACGCAGAGAGGGCCGCCAGCAAGGCCAACACAATTAGAAGCTTTCACCATGAAGGTACGTATTACTGACATACCTCCACCTGTCAGCTCTCTCAGACAGCCCTAACCCATATTTAAACATGACTCAGTGCGTCAAGCTGAGCTTCACAGCCTGCGCTGTTTTATAGAGGTTTAGTCATTTACGCGCAGCTCGCATCTATTATTTGTAACTCTAAAAAAAAATTTAAAGCGACTCGATTCACAAACAAGAATCTCACGCACAATTGAACTAACTCTCTTTTATGCAGTGATGCAACAGTAAAGCAAACACGCCTCTAGCAGCTGTCACAGGCTTCAGAAACATCAAGGGCCAGCGCTATCCCTGGGGTAATTTGTTTCTTAATAATTGATGGTGTTTGCGTGGGCTGTGAAAACAGTTTTTCCAGACACGCACTGCGGGAGCGGGATAAAGGGCGGTGTGCCTTTAGCGCAGGTAATAGACAGAACCCTGTAACTTAAAAAAAAAAAACAAAAAAAAAACAGGCATTATAGTAGCACGAGCTGGGGCACAGTCATGTCAGACTGACTCATTTTTTAAAAAGACTGAAATGATTTGTTTGTAACTGTGGGAAGGAGGGGTTCCTTCCCCTTTCTTTCCAAATCATCCCTCTGTCCCTCTCTCTCCACGATGTGCGCAATTACGCACGTTCCTGTATCACCATAGCTGCTCTCACAGTCTACAGGACACGTGGTGGTTTGTTGGAGTGAGTTTTTCAGTTTAGCTCCAGATTAAAATAGATGAAAATTATAGAATAGGACATAGACTACACATATTCACTAAAGTTGATTATTTCAACACATCCAGATTAGCCTACTTTAGAACATAGACATTATTTTATGTCATCACATATTGTATATTTAATATATTTAATTTCAACTAAAGCTTATTGCAGCTTTGTAGCCACTATTCCACTTCCTATGATTCAAGTAGCTGTTTTTACAGCATACATGTTACTAAGTCCATTGGGGCCCTACATAGAGTCCTCATACAGAGTCCTGTGTTTGACTGGAGAAGTTTCCATCAGGGGTGAGTCAGAGGGGTGGTTGAGTGGTTGCTTGGGTGCTCTCCAAAGCCCTAGTGCAATGACACCAAGTGGCTAAACTGACACACTACAAACAACCCTGGCCTGAGCTGCAGGGCTGAGTGACTGCTCCCAGCCGGCTTGTGGAAACATCTGCTCTCAGCAAACACACCTTGACACCACTGGCCATTACAAATGTGTTTAGACTGTATTTAAACATGCTCCCAGTGGCTCTTTAGCCTGTGCTTATTGAGCTGCATGGTTCTTAGAGTTCTTGAAATAAGTCAGTGACATTGTACTGAGCGTTTTGTAGGGTAAATATGTGTGAACAGAGATTAATGCAACACAACCAAGCAATCTGAATCTCATATCTGAACACATCATATCTGTCATTTGTTTTTGATTTCTCTTGAATAATCAGGTCTAATGCTATCAGTGAATAGAGGCATTTCCACTTTTTACAAGGGAGGCGGCGGCTAGTTACAGATTTTAGATGAATGACCTGACATTAGCCTTTATCTCTTATTTTGGCATAAAGCTCAAAAAGAAATTAGGAATGCCGATGCACTCATTTCTGTGGTTCAAACGTTTCTGACAAGCCTGAGCATGTTCACAAAGCAGTCTTAGAGAGATTGAAAAACACTGTTGCAGAACAAAACAGAAAAAAAACAGTGACAAAGGAGTAGACAGCAAGGAAAGAGGATTTGGAGGCTAAGAGAACAGAGAGAAAATGGGATTTGGGGTGCTGATAAAGGAAAGGAAGAGCAGGTTCGGGACCAAAGAGAGGGAATGAGACACAGGGGGCTTTCCCACATCAAATAAGAAGTGATGAGTCTAATTGAGGTCTTTGTGCCTCTGGAGGGAGGTTTAGGATGAGATGGTGGAATTTCCTAAATGCCTCCTTTGAAAAGCTAATAGTTTTAAGGTTTTAGTTTACTTTGCCACACCAAACAGATTAAAATGATGGCCTATACATCTTCTGTGATCTTCATAAAGTAAGAGTTCAAAGCAGGGCTGCCAAAAAGAAAATTGTAGCTTTTACTGACACTTCTATCATTTACCAAATTCTATGGAAGGGAATACCGATTAAATTCAACACGTGTGTCACCTTTATATGCCCCAGCATAGTAAGAGTAGAGATATAAATTATAAAAAAAAGAATTATGAAGAATTTGTTTATCTCCAGAGCAAAAATAATTATCTAGTAATGTCCTAGAGTAAATTTGCAAGGAACTGGCAGTATTATTGCGATTATGTCGTCCCCCTTGGCATTTCTTTAATACTTTTTATATTTATTTCAGAATATGAGCTTTAAACAGATTTGATTATAGTTAATGGTTTGACAGAAGGAAATTTTAAACAGATGTCAACTGTTTGTGCAAATAAGCAGTATGAATGCAGGCTTACTAATCCCTCTGATCTTATCAGAAGATGAGAGCGCACTGCATTTATTCTTTGACATTTAACCTGATGATTTCAAGAGCCTCACCCTAATGATTGTTTTACATCGCAATTATCATTTGCCTGTGATTAAAATTGAAAAAACAATATGTTTTACCTTCTTGACAGTGGCCTCCACCCACCCTGTTCAGTCACTAGGCAGTTCTGCTGAATGTACTGATAAAAAGATAAGATGCTAATCGGTTCATATTTGGAACATTAACAAAGCAACTGTTTCCATGCCAGTCCTTCTTTAACTATGCGTGTTAACTTGTTCAATCAATCTTTTGGTTGCATCATCTTACACTGTGGCTGTCTATGTTGTTTTCTCTAGAATCAATGGAAGCCCTGGCCAGCCTGAAAGGCAAAACAACCCAGCAATTCTACTTCAACCTCACTTCAATCCCTAAAGAAGAGCTGATAACTTCTGCAGAGCTCCGCATTTACAGGGATCAGGTCATTGGAGCTGCACCCCCGAACAGCAGCGCTCTAGCTGGAGGCCTCCATCGTATCAACATTTATGAAATCTTCGGAGTTCCAGTAGGCTCTAACAGCACAGAACCTCTGGTCCGTCTGCTGGATACCCGGCTGGTTCAGGACTCTTTGAGTCGCTGGGAGAGTTTTGATGTGAGTCCTGCTGTTTCTCAATGGACATCAGGGCAAGGCCCCAACCATGGCTTTATGGTGGAGGTGCTTCACCCAGAGCATGAGGAGATGGACTCAGAGCATTCCCAGAGACGAAACAAGCATGTCAGGGTGAGCCGGTCCCTCCATCAGGACCAGGACTCATGGCCACAGGCCCGACCCTTGCTGGTAACGTACGGTCATGACGGCCATGGGGATTCAGTACTCCATACACGGCAAAAAAGGCAAGCACTCCGGAAACAGCGCAGGAAGCATCCGCACAAGGCGAGCTGCAAAAGGCATACCCTGTATGTAGACTTTAGCGACGTGCAATGGAACGAGTGGATAGTGGCACCTGCTGGCTACCATGCCTATTACTGCCAGGGGGAATGCCCCTTTCCATTACCTGACCACCTTAATGCAACAAATCATGCCATTGTGCAGACTCTTGTCAACTCCGTCAACCCAAGCATCCCCAGAGCCTGTTGTGTGCCCACAGAACTCAGTGCCATTTCGCTGCTTTACCTGGACGAATATGAGAAGGTGATTCTGAAAAATTACCAGGATATGGTGGTGGAGGGCTGTGGCTGTCGATGAAAAATGGATTGGGTGAACTTAAAGTGAAAGTGGACACCAGAGAAAGACAAAGTGAATAAACTTTACTATGGACACCCAGTTTCTCAATGAAGACATTTATTTATATGAAAGAAACAGAAAATAGAGATATTGAGTGCAAGTCCTTAAAGTTTATATATAAATATATTTATGTCTACATAAAGTTGGGAAAGTTTTAATCAAAGGAATATTCCTTAACTGGTTCTAAAAAAGCATTTCTGTTGTACGTAATGAAATGGGTGCAATACCACATGAAGTATAATGCTGAGATGTTTATATTGTATTTATTACTATTATAACCACTCTATTTGTAAATAAATAATGTGTATTTATCATAAAAACATACAATTAGTCCAGTTTTCTAAGATCAGCACCAGCTGTATCTGGGAGGGGGCCTGGAAAGAGCGTGAAGACGTGTGGTTGGTGTAAAGATGGGTTTAAGTGCTGACTACAAAGAATATAACACTGCACTAATTGCAACTAAAGCAATGAAATATTTGGGTAAATGTAATTGGAAACCGAAAGCAAAGATCACTGGTGTAACAAGCTGCAATGTAGAGCCGGGTCACACAACAATTTTCATGCCCACAAATGTAATAGACTCCCAAGGGAGGATTAGAAAAACAGCCAAGTGTGTTTTCATACATTACATGTCACTGCAAAGATTCCTGGGAACAATCTTCCAAGAGCGAGCTCTCATGTTTATTCTTCCCCAAACCAATATTATCAGAGGAGAAAGAGTGGAACTGCAGCGCTTCTGTGCAAGCTTGGATGGGTTTATTTACAACAAGAACTGACACTGAAAAGCTGCACACTTTGGTAGCTGGGGACACCAACTAATCTGTACCAAGAAATAAACTTTACAATGAATTTAATTTACTAGAATAAACAGATATCTACACCTGACTACGATCATGAAAAAATGATATTAGGCACCCCTTGGTTTCTTTTTTTTTTTTTTTTGTTCAGGTAAAAATAAACATCTCTACAACAACAAATAGTTAAAAGAAAACATTGGAATATTAATTCGTCCATGAATATGTATGCAGCAGATAATCAGACAAATAACACCAAAATCTCTGTCTTTCTTCCTTTAGCATGTTTAAATTCTGAGTTTTTTTTTATTTATTTATTCATCAAGCTTTAAGAGAAATATAGTATTACTTCACAAGCGACACAGCTGAAGCATATGTTTCACTGAAAGAGCAGGAAACCCATGAAGTATCTTACAATATAAAGCAGAATCCTAACTTTCTCTTAAAATATTGGATACACACAAAAAAGGGATATACAATCTAAATGAAAGAGAACTGGTCCAAACCCACTCCAAACATCACAGAGGAGATCACCTTGTTTTATCATAACATCAGATCAGATAATAAGAGACAAAAGAGAAACTCAAAAGAGTCTTGCGGGGTTAAGAATGAGTGCTCTCGCTGCTGTGTTTGCATTAGAAAGGGTTTTGAGGGATCACAGCGCAGCTCAAAATACTTTAAATAGAATGTTTTAATGTGAGTGCACGTTGGGACCATGGAATGTTGGTTTTCAATCTCAGACACATGCATATATGCTTGCATGGAAAACCAGCGTGGTTGTTTTTTCAATCATCTATTCAAGGATTTCCTGGTGGGCTTTTTCTCTTAAAAAACAAATGTGCATCAAACAAAGATACGCTTGTTACTTTTGTGAGAGACAAATTAAAACATTAGAAAGCAGCTCTGATGCTTCACCTAGGAACAATAAAGACTCTAAAACAGCAGTTAAAGTTGCAAAGTTTATATCAGCTCATGTTTCCCCAAATAAGAAATGCCTATTGAATTTCTGTTTCGTTAAATTCACAGACCTTAATGGATTTTACCTGGATTTGTTGAGAGAGAGAGACACAAAATAATGCATGGCCATAAAGCCATAGGAAAATGATAGATGATTTTCAAATTGTTATACAACTAAAGATTTAAAAGGCGTGCTCTGTGTTAACATTCACAGCTCCTAAGCCATTATTTTGAAGAACCATGTTCTAATCAAAACATCTCTTAGACAGGTATGGGAATGAAAACATTGAAATACAGTATTTTCTCAATATCAAGTTCAGTCATACTGAAAGGAGAGCACACAAAATTAGATTTCAAGTCTAGTTAGAACTAAATTTGAGCTGGGCTTAAATTAAACCATTCAAACCTACCCTTAGACTACAACAGGCTTCATCTTTAGGGCGGTTTTCCTTGTGAAAGATGAACCTCTGCCCATACACAGTTCAGAAAGTTGATCTTATAGCATCTTCCTGCATTCAGTTTTACCTATCTCCTCATCGGTTCAGACCATATTTTCTAACCCAGCTGAAGACAAGACTGCCTGCCACCATATTGCTGCCACCACCACGTTTTATTAAGCAGGTTTTGTCTTTTGGGTGATTTGCAGTGTCATTCTGTTGCATATACCATATTACATGTGGGGCAAAAATTCTCATCTGACTAAAGGACCACATTCATTATATTTTCTTGTGTTCCCCACACTGAATATAACAACTTGGGTTTCCTGTCGGCTTTCTTTCATAGTTTTAATTTTATTAATGTTTGCAACAAACTTTCAACAAGTTCTCCCTCCTGAGGCGTGGATCCCTGCAGCTCATCCGTCGTTAACAGTGGCCTTCAAGCAGCTTCTCTGATTAATGCTTTCCTGGTCTAGCTTGACGGTTTAGGTAAACAGCAATGTCCTGGTAATGAATATTATTAAAGTTTTAGGATATTGTTTAACCCAACCCCTTTAGATTTGATGTGCACATGGGCCTCTTAGTCCATTTATGTTCCTTTAAAAAACTCGGCTACAGCTGTAATTTAGAGATTGAATCACACATGAATGGAATAGATTAATAAATAAATCATTTCTCGAGGAATTTGGTTTCACTATATTTTTTACGTGTTTTAGACTAAATAAAACTAAATGAACATGTATGTTATCTTTCAGAGTTATATTTTTTTAATTAAAATGGTGAAAAGCATACATCCTTTCCATTCGCTTTTGATATGCGTTTTTATTTACCCTTTTAAGTCCTGAAATAATCCATTAAAACTGACAGCTGTAACAGGAGAAAATGTGAAAAAGTTTAATAGTGTGAATACTTTTGCAAGGCACTTCATCTAACAATGTAACAGCATAAAGTTATCGTCTTAACAAAAAAAAAAGAACCCTTCCACGTCTCAGCTACAGCTTTTTGCACTTGTTTTTGTTTTTTTCCTCCATCTTCATCCCCTCTTAGTACCATCTGGTGTCAATTTTTTCTTTGTAGATCCCACCATACCACAACACTACACATGAGCTACACATACATCCCCCGGTAGCAGCCCTTTTTTAATGGACTTTAGGAGGAAGTCACTTTGCTGGCACACTTAGCGAAAAATCAACACTGAAAATCTAAACTCCACAACAGTTCCTGCCACAAATTCCAGCAGTAATGTCAAGAGTGGGATGTGGGGGAATTTTTGGAGTTAAAAAAAAGTGTTAGATTTAGTGGCTTTATAGTTCAAGTCCATAAAGCTTTCATTGGGTTGGGTGGAAATACTGCTCCCAGAGTGGGCGACACATGGGCAGCACTCCCAAAACTCCGCTTCTGCACCCCATCCCTGCTGAACTGGGTTCCAGTTGTACTAAAAGCCGACCACTGTTTCACCACCTACAGGGTTTTTCCGTTTTAGAGTCCTGTTAGTATCAAACACCTCCTGTGGGACCACTTCTAAACTTTTCACTAAGGAGGGGGTAAGGGTCAGGGGTCAAAGTAATAAGGACCAATTATCTCCGCCCATTCTGACTGACTTCCAGGCTCATCACGTCATCATGGTCTAGTGGCTTCAAGTGTGGTCAGCCACTGGATGGAACGGGGAATGTGTTTGTTTTGTACAATCCATTTATTTTATCCCACTTTGGAACAAGTCTTACTTTAGCACTATTTCACCAGAAAAGATGATTCATGATTGATAGAAAAACACAGCAGTTAGTTTGTGTATTTAGCAAGGTTCTCTACACCTGCTGCACAGACGTGGACGAAAGCACTTTTAGAAAACCAATTTTTTTTCCTTCCTTCTCTGTGGACATCTGGCAAATCATTTAAAGGTGTCCTTCACTGTCTTTGTTTACATACAAACACACAACACGGCAGCCACACAACTGATGTACATAACACTAGGAGCTGGGGCCCACAAGCATAGCAGGGCTTTTCTTTTTGTTTGATGTGCTGAAAACTTCGCTAAAACTGTTGGCACTAACAAACAATCTGGATCTTAAGGGTTATAAAATCAGATTTCCAGATTTCTGGCTGGCTCAGAATTGGAAAATATGTGACTGTGCTGTGGACAGACTTTGATGAGGCAGAGGGCTTGAGAGATCTCAGTGGGCTCTATGCCAACGCAGAAGATGAAAATTAGGAGAAATATAGAGAAAGCTGCCACTTTAGAGTCTTTTCTATGTTTGGATCTTTTCTTCTTTATGTGCAGAACACACTAATTTTAGAGGTGGTGTACATGGTGTTTCTGTATTCCAAGAACAGCCAATAAGATGACGTCCGGCATAGCTAAGGCTGTGGCATCTGTGCAGCAGCTCTGAACACATCAAACAAGCGGGCGTCCACAGTTTCTGGAGCAAAGCAAAGTTGGAAATTGCTTTTCCAGAATGACTGCATGGTTGATATTGCTTTTGCTTTCATACAATTGTGGCTTTTCTTTTCTTTTTTTCTTTTTTTTTTTGTGTTTCTACGAGCATGTGGGAACTAAACCTTATCTCTAAGATTTGTGCAAAAATGGATAACTTGAACATTATGAATATAAGTAATTAGACATTGTAAACAAATATGCTATGGTTTATTCAGTTATAAGAAATAATTTTGCAGAGGGAAGTGACTTTAAAGGAATTTAAGATACTTAGACCAAAGCGTTTTGTATCGTTTCATTTGTAATCTTTTGACTTTAAGGACTCACTCCACAGACTATATAGAACAATTTCCATATGGCCAACATGTGGACAAACAGGCTTGAGGATGGATTTGCCTCAAGACATTGACCCTAGATCAATGTTGTGTTTTTGCCTCTCATGGTTACAGTTAGGTTTGGACTAAAGGGTACACGCGACAGTTGCTGGAACCTTGCCGTAGGGCGTCTCCTACGCATCGTGCTTGAAAGAGTTTTTGTGGTCACACAAGAAGCCTCCATCTTTGTAAGAGGAAGTGAAGAGATCAGTCAAAGGGAGCAGCATGACATCCCCCAGCAGGCCTTATAAATAAATGTCAATCTCAGAGATTGTAAATCTCATGCATCACCACACTTACAACATCAAAACAGTGTTTGCATTCAAAGCTGCCAATGAAAGCGGAGCTGTAAATGTAAATGTCATGTTAGATTGAAGAATAGTAGACTAAAATTAAAATCCAAGTTACATTAAAATCAGTATAACAAGGCTTACATAAGAAATACCTTTTATTACCTGGACTTAAGAAACAAAAGTTCTTAAAAGCTATACAGCAGGGGTTACTTCCATGCAAATTTTAGATTCATGCCTGGATCTCCACACTTGAATTAGATGGCTAAATTACCTCTTCAGACTTTATCAAGTTCTGTAGAGGTCTGGTAATAAGGAATTAATTAAAACTGATTCAGGTGTTTTACAGGATATTTGTCTCGGGGAGGAGCAGAATGCAAGAACACCCCTTTTTTATTTATCTATTTTATTTTCTTGGTTGGGGGGCAAAGAGAGGTATTTCAGGGGGGAAACAAGCTCTCTCTCTCCCTTTTCTGCTCTTTGTGATTTCCTTATATGATTGAGTCCTCAGCATGCTACATAATGTTATTAAGAATAGTAATAGCAAGGTAAGGCAGGGTTTATTTATATAGCACAAGTCAGTACATGGCCAATTCAAAGTGATTTACATGAATTACACAATAACAAAAGAAAAATAAAAGCAGAGTAAATGAACAATATGCTGCTTCTCCATGTTTTGCTCTAGTTCTTGGTGTAGAGTAGGCTGGAACTAGAAGACCTGAGTGGTCTAGGGTTAGGTTGAAACACTCACAACACAACTGTGATGTATTGAGGGGCTGATCTATTCAGTGATTTCTGGACTTACCGAAATATTTCAAAGTCTACAGGTAGCCAGTGGAAGGACTTCAAAACCAGGCTCATGTGCTCAACTTTGTTAGTTCTAGTGAGAAAATGTGCTGCAGCGTTTTGGATCAGCTGCAGTTGTCTGACAGACTTTTTAGACAAACCTATGAAGACAGTGTTGCAGTAATCAATTCTACTAAAAATGGGTGAATGAGTTAGTTTTTTAGATCCTGCTTGGATATTAGTCATTTAACCCCGGAAATGTTCTTCAGGTGATAAAAGGCTGACTTGGTAACTGCCTTTATATGCCTCTGAAGGTTCAGGTCTGAGTCCATCATGACATGACAAGATTTTGGTCTTAATCAGTGGTTTCTAGCTGTAGTAGCTGAAACCAGAGCCAACTCTGGATCTATCTTCCTTTGGCCCAAACATTATTACCTCAGTTTTGTTTTTCATTTGGATAAAATTATGGTGCATCCACATATTGAACTGTTCTAAGCCTCTAGCCATTATTCTGATGGGTTCATAGTCACCTCGTATCATTCTGATGTAAAGATGTCTGTCGTCTGCATAGTTGCTAACTGATCCGGTTGTTTGCTATAATCTGGGCTAATGGTAGCATGTAGATGTTGAATAACAGGAGCCCCAGAATGGAGCCACAAGGAACCCTGCATGTGATTTTTCTGGTCTCTGATTAAAAGTTCCCTACTGACACATAAAAGTCCTTGTCCTTCAGGTAGAATTTAAACCAGTCCAGTACTGTACCAGAAAGGCCGACCCAGTTTTCCAGAAGCACTAATAAAATTGAGTGATCAACAGTATCAAACACTGCACTAAAGTCCAATAATAGCAGCACAGTGGTTCTTCCACAGTCTGAATTGATACTGATGTCACTGAAGACCTTAATCAGGGCAGTCTCTTCACTGCGGTTGATTTCAGATTCAGCTGTAGTGTTGGGATGGATACAGCAGATGGTGCTGTGGAGGGCTTGTGGGGGTTGTTGGGGTTTGAGGAGTGGTCACTTTACTCCAAAGCAATGATGAATGTGATCTATATTTCCCCATCACCTCATGGACTGATTTTATTGTTTGTTAATTCAGTTGATATCCCATTTCAAGAACTTGTATTCCAAGCCCTACCGTTCCATGGCATCAGCAGAGAGAAGTTTATCATCAGAGAGAATATTTATCAGGTTTTTATTCACTTCATGTACTTAGTTCAGGGAATTGAAAATGTTGGAAACCAAAAGTTTTGCACATGATTTATTCAGGTGGAATCCATCTCTACTGAGGAGGTTTCTCTTTTCCCAGAAGATATTAAAGTTATCAAAAAGCCAATTGATCTTGCAAAGCAAGCTTGTTTGATCCATTTATTCAGGTAGGAAACTGCTAAAGAATGCATCCCCTGCTGAAGGTGGCAGACCAGGACCTCTTATGAAAACTTTAAAATGTATCTGTTCCGCTGTGTTAAGCAGACTTTTCACATCTTCCTTTAATATTTCAAACTTCCTCTTAGCCATATCATTCAGTGCTCTAATGTGAATGACTAAGCTCTTCAAGGTTGGATTTAATTCTGTGATCTTTGTGATCCTCTGAGATTCCAGAAATTGTGGTACAGCCAACATTCCCTATCTATGTGTTTTTATTCCTAGAATCATCCGTTACTATTAATGTCATTGGCTTAGTAGTAATTGGTTTGTTATGAAGCTGTTTAGTAAAGAGCTGGATATCGCCATACCTTTTTTTGTTGTCTGGAAACAGGCCGTTCTTTTCAAGGTCATCTTATAACCGGTTTTTAGAGGAATCCCAACAGTAGAAGACATGTTT